GTTGTGGGTAAAAGTACGGTGCGAAGAGAAATCGGCATTTACTAAAGTTTATTAGAACATAATTTTATTGTTTCATTTCATTTCCATGCTGATTGCAGATTCAAACTATTCAGCTGGTGCGTGTTAATGCAAAATAAAACCGTTTAAAAACTTTTAAGTTAAACGGTTTTATTTTGTTTTTTTTTTGTTAATATTGTATTGTCATCTAAATTAAATGTGTGTACCAAATTTCAGATCAATCTGACAACGGCAAGGTGCTTAAATTTCAATTTCTAATTTTGACCCAAACAAACAAATTCCGTAAGGGTTGAGCTAAATAATAGATACCGTTTAAAAAGATACATTCAATAACTTTATCAATTCCATTGATAGAGTGTTGATTCAATAGGCCGTTGTTAAATGTATATAAAACGGTATATATCAAAGCATAAATAAAATGAACGAATGTACGAATGATATCTTAAAAGCAAGATTTAACCCACAAAGTGTTAAGTAAGAGTGTGATTTGGATTATAGTCATCAAATATATGTTCGGCTTCTGATACAAACTCTAAATATCTCTTGCAGCTAGTAACGGGCGAAGTTCCTATACATAGGGTATAGAGTACAACTATTTTTACAATAACATATTAACGGTATAATAGAAGACAGTTATTTTTATGGTAGATTCTTGGTATTTTTAGTATTTTGCGCGGGTCACGTGCACGGGGACAGTCGTGGTTATTCTGATAGTGCTAACTTAGCTCGGACAATGATCGTATCATATTTAGTATTACATTTATCAGTACCGGTATATGCCGATGTAAACATTTGTATACAGGTGATATATTGTATCCTAGGAAAAAAGATTGTAATAAACGTATTATACTTTAGGTATTACGTTACGTTTACTTTACTTATGATATAATTTATTTTATATTATATTCGTAAATTTCTTTTTCGCCCAATTGTTTTTGTTGTTCTTTTTCCAAAATACAACAAATTCTTGCCTGAGCACTTTCTTTATTAAATGAAATATTATTGTAGATAAATGTTTTAGTTTCTAACCCTACAGCATGCTGGTGTGTGTACTAGACGCTGCCTAGACGTGCTGACCCACTGCCCGGCGACCTTGCTTTTCTTATGTTGTTATTCCGTCCCTCTCGCACTGCCGCCCCGCGTGTTGCTATCCCCCTCGAACGCGTCTATTGATAGTCAAGACGGTTATGACCAAGGTCACGTGGAAGGCTCGCTCGGGCTTTATATGGGACTGTGTGCCACAGAGCAGCCATTGTTAGACTATAATAGCGATTTTCTACAACGACGGCTAGTTTGTGTTAGTTCGGTGCGCGGACATTGCTGTAGTGTTGCCATATTTGTTGTGTCACCACTTTTATTTCGACACGCATTTTTTTCGATTAAAATCTTCATCGAGACCGGATTACATTAGTTTTGAGTCTAAGTAAACGAAACTTTACAAGAAATAATCTATTAAAGGAAAAAATTCTTTATAATTATTATTTAAATCTGATATAAGGTTGGAGACTAATTATATAAGAATCAACAATAAAACACACGATTAATGTACTTTAAATTTCACATGTATAAAAATAAAATATTTAATTTTCATATATTTTTATTCCTTTTAACTGTTTACGTACAAATATAGTGTACTTGCCTTCGGTTCTCCAGCAACGACTTTCCCGTTACTAACTTAGCAATTTTTGTTTTGTCTGTTTGTTGTCATGGTACCGACGCTGTGGCAACACCGGTTACGGGTGCTTTGACACGACAATTTGCAATGACCGCGCGCAACGATCGCTAGTTGAACTATGACCTAGTTAATTGAACCTCACGTCTATGATTTAAAAGGGTTATGTTGTGTGAAAAGGGTTTTAATGTTTTAGAATTAGTTGATGAGTTATACGATTAAATAGTTCAATGTTTGAAATACTTTCATATTCAAGGGGTGTAATGTGAAAACTGCCTATTCCGTCCCTCCTCTAAAGTGGACGATGACTGTCTTATCTCTATTGTCTATTCGTTTATGTAAGGAGGTTGAAACAGACAAGCGGTTAACCTCATGTGAAGTGATTATATCTCGTGGACATCCACGACACCTGTGAGGCAGCAGGCGTGATGCTAAGCTTTAAAGTACTCGGCACCAGTTACCTCCCTTCATGATCGAAAAATTCGACACTTTCTCTTCAAGCCGGTCTTCTGTGAGGCCGTGGTACTTCCAGAGGAGATTGCCCATTTGTACAACAGCGGATCAGATTCATGGCCCTATCATTCCCTTATAGTCGTTTTAACAGACAGACATGGGAGACATTTTTGTACGCTTGTGTGGAGGGGGTTGGGTACTAAGTCCCAACGGCAACTGCGAATTAGATAGTTCTATTGTAGTCTTCCCTTCGAAGACATTTTATTTAATTATTTTTGTTACGACACTATTGAACACTAAATTTAGACAATTTACACATAATATGTTAGTAACAGGCTTGGTGAGTGCCATCTCAATTATAGGTGTAAACCACAATGCATTAAATAACAACAAAAGAACTTAAAACTATATTTGAAAAAAATAAAACAGTAAATAAAAACATAAAAACTCAGCGAATAGTGAATAGTGAACTTTTCTCTTATGTGTTCAGTACTCACGTTCTTGTGGGTGTAGGTTCGATCCCCACTAGTGGAAAAGTATTGTGTGATTAACGTAGTGTTTTACCAGTGTCTGTGTGTTTATATATTTATGACATGTATTTATTCAAACAAAGTATGTTTATTAATTAACTGGTACCAATAGTACAAGCGTTGCTTAGTTTGGGACTTGAGAACGTTGTGTAAAAATGTTTTCTGAATTGTTTTTGTTTTTTTTTATACCCCAACTGTCACATAGACAACGGGTATTTCGTTATGTCGCAGCATTTCTATTCGTCTATCGTACAAATGTAAACTTTAACTGTTGCATACAAATAGAATACAAAAAGGCCCGAATGAGAATATTGTAAACAGGAAGCGAGTGTAACATTCAACCACTCGCAATACATATTTATTCATGTTTGGACTTATTGTTGGCTATCGAAGAATAAACTACATGACAATAGAGCGACTCTGCCGTCCTTCTGCTCGGAACTAGTTCGAATTTTAACAATGCAACCGTTTACGCGGTGTCTAGACACTATTGTGGGTCCCCTTAACCTCCCGCTATGGGTCAAGAGATGTCTCTCGATAGTCCGCTCTTGCGAGTTCACACACAAACCAGTCGTCGTAAATACGCTTAGAATATCATAGACAAAAGACTTCGTGGCAACCGAGATCCGCTCCGTGTATATGAGAGCTTCGTAAAAAGCACTTCACACGAAACTAGTGACCTCGTGAAATGCTCACTTCACTGTAATATTGCGAACATAAACTCTTATTCTATTTAGTAGGCGATTCCACTCAATAAATTTATCTAAAAGACAAAGAAGAAACACTGTTATTCTGCTTAATAAAAGATTCAACACAATCAATTTATCTAAAAGACAAATTATTGATTAATTATTTATTTGTCACAAAACGTGCAAATTGAATAATTTGTAATAACGGTTTAACGTATGTATTACTACAGTTCTAAAGCAAAAATGTTTTCGTTCACTAATACTATCCGCACAAAATTACTAACTAGTATGCCATTTGATGATTAAAATGTATGTGTTATCATTTCGAAGTAGCGAATAGTCCCTGTTGTAACTAAAGAATAAGAAAAAACACTTAAAAATGATACATTAATTTAGCAACTTCTTAGAAACCTATAATAAAGATCATAGTTTCGTTTACTACATAGCGATATTAATGTACCGATGTCTAAAACGTAGAGTTCATAATAGAATAACTTTCTTTATTACTAAAGATTAATACGACGTGCACACATAACTACTTGCTCAGTTATAACCATAGTGTATTTTAGTGTCTATAGACACACACTCATCCAATCTAATCTGAAACAAGGTCGGATGAAGGTGGCAACTGCGTCATCAATCCCGAATAGCTATCATACGACTTTACGAGACATTTCCTCAGTCAAATTGTCCCAGATCAGTAGCAAATAGTTAAAATCGTCTATCCCAAAGAGGTACCATTAAACACCGCTGTTATTCCCTAGTGAATTTCCATTTGCAATGGCAACGGCAAGTTCTCTACATATAGAGTGCTAGCAAGCGTATTCAGAGACGCTTCGCGCGAGTGTTCGACCCACAAAAATGTTCGCCGGAGCGACGCGGGGCGTTGCATCGCAGATACATCTAGACTCTGGTCGTATGAGATGCCATTAACCTTCGAAAATACAAGTGAAGACATTAATACGCACACAAGCACGGAGACGGGCACGCGGACAGAGGCGGCCGCGGCTGGGCGCCAATCTAAAACACCCGCCGACCGGCACCGATAATGGCGGGCCGGGTTGAACGACCGCCGGTTACATATTTAGAAAAAAATATTTGGCAAATGCTCGGTGCGATGCACTTTACACCGCTGGCCAATTAGAAGGGCGTAGAGGTCCAGCGCCACCTACGGATCTACGCTGAATCTACGATTTCGGCTACGGAGGCCTTTTGGTCGCTGGCTGACGTGAGAGCACGGGGTAAAGATATCTCGATGGTGTAAATAAAACTTGGAGGCTTCATTATAAATATATCAGAATCACGTTTAATATCTAATTTAAGATATTACTGATAAAACAAGGTAGAACTTCTAGGTATAATAATACAGTAGTTTTTATTTCCCACGCTTATGCATTATATAAATACCATCGCATATTACGCACGGAATAAAAATGGATCCATATTCAACATGCCGATCCTTCTGTAGACGTATTTGTCAAGCCAATTGCTTCAGATTCGAAAGACCACGTTTCGTAAATAATTTAATTTGTTTAAAAACATGGTGACCACCAATAGGGATCCACACCAACCACTGCAACGTCAATAACTCACTCGATGCTCGGTTGCTCTTTGCCCGCTTAGAAAAAAAAAGACAAAATGGCGGGTGGTTTTCCCGCGCCGGCGGTGTACCGAGGCGAGCGCTGCTCCCGTAGAGAGGCGGTTCGGTAGCCTTCCGCCACGCAGACACGCGAGCAGGTTACGTCGCGTTAGTGCAACGTATCTAGATAATTCTGTAGTGGAATTATTTCGGGGCCGGCGCTGCGAGCCGGAGGTGGCCGGACGTTGACTCCGACCATAGCGTTAGGAGAAGCGCGAACGTTGACCGGCCCAAGGCGGATTTGACCGGATTCAACCGGACGGCTGGTACAGTCAGCAACGAGCAGCAGTACAGTCAGCACAGTAATTAATAATATATACATAGTTGACTGCAGTACTATTTGGGCGGCACAAACAAATGAAGATCACACACACATCGACAGAGCTATAATGAACCAAATCTTCTCGTATCAGTGCCACTAGTCTATCCACTCAATAGTAACTGGCCCTATATTTTATTACTCCATATCCATATGTACGTGTACTTGTAGTAAATCTTTCTCGTTTAAGAATAAATTATATACGAACAGAACATTTATACATAGTCTCGCCGAAACTCTCGCGGCAAATCGTGTGCATAATGACGAAGTTTTCACGAGGATGGAAAACCCATTGCAATTTCTCAGCCGCCGGGGGGGGGGGGGGGGGGGGGGGGGGGGGGGGGGGGGGAGGGGGGGGGGGGGGGGGGGGGGGGGGGGGGGGGGGGGGGGGGGGGGGGGGGAAAGGGAGGAAACCCTCCAGAGCCAACGGAACTTGGTATCTTGACTGAAATAGCTTGATAATCACTACATAGTATAAAATAAAGTCGTCCCGCTGTCTGTCTAGCCCTATGTATGCTTAGATATTTAAAGTAAGTAAGGTAACTTACGAACGTGTTAATTTCTTGTAAAATTTTGACGTTTCATAAGAACACGCAAGCGTCTATGTGAATAAAGATATTTTATTATTATTATTATTATAAAACACACAACGGATCTTTGCGGTTTTTTTTACTAGATAGAGTGATCCAAGAGGAAGGTTTATATGTATATAATACATTGCACCCGTGCGAAGCCAGGGCGGGTCGCTAGTTATTAGATAATTATTAAGACAGCGTTAACATACGCTCTTGAACTGCTTGGTGCTGGTCTTCTAACCTTGGCTGTGTATTTGGAGAGCTGGTGTACCAACACAACCAGTAACAGTTATCAGTAACGTTACTGATACAGTTACTGATAACTGTTACTGTCGCTGGACCTGGATTCAATACTCAAAGGGGACAAGTAAATAATATGCCGACAAAATTTTCTTTAAAGCGGTCGATTATCTATCTTCAGCGTCTCTATACAGAGTCACTGCTACAAAATATAATCTTAACACAGGTAACAAAAGGATAGGAGAAAGTATATAAACAATAATCGAAATGAATTAAGATGTTCCTACGTGACGATTGCATTCGATTATAATAAGAAAAGAAAATATAATGACGATAAATAAAGAAGTCATATACATTAAGAATTAAGGTCAGAAAGATATTATATTTTATTATAAGGTAATGATCTGTATTAACAGAAAATAACGTACAAAAAAACAATCAATCTTGTAAAAAAACAACAACCGAACTAATCAAAACAAATTTAGGAATCGCATTACGAATTCGAAAAATGGAGAATACAAACACAAAAAACGTAATACTCAAAATTCTGTAAAATAATTTTATTTCACATTTGTAATAATACTACAAAATACTATGAATTTCTTCCCGTTTAGTTTTGTTTTAAAGTTCAAGACTTTCGAAAACTTTGTAACATCTATGAAAAAGTCTCTACCCTGCATTTTACATCATGTTATCATAATAACAGGTTATTATGGTTGTTGAGGTTATCATATTATACATATAATATTATGTAAACAGGACGTAATAAAAATAGTGTAACAAATCTAACAATCATTATTTATTTCATTATTTAATTTTGTTCGTTCGATATCGAATGCGCTTACATCTAGAAGTATTGAAATTAATATGTTAAATGAATAGATAATTTATTTGCATCAAAACATTATTTAAAATCTTTTTAAACTTTAGCAGGTCCTGATAGGCTTTCTAATCGAAATACTATTTAATAAACCAACTGTTTTGTAAATGGCTGCGTGTTTTCGATTAAAAAGCCAGACAAAAATGTCTTTTGGCATACAAAATCAATAACAAAACGCCAACAGAGTAATAGCAGCAAGTATTGCATTAATTGTACTTTATCAACTTATTTTTTTTATGTTTGTTACCACAGGACTTTCAGCTGACCGATTTTGATGATTTTTTTTTTATTTGAAACCTCCGGAGATGCTAAGGGACCTCCTGAAGATCAATTATAAAACGAATACAGTGCGAGACGTTTGAAGTCGGCTTAGTTTCTCGTCAATAATCAAATGATCTGCCTCGTTATTTTTGTTGTTCAGCTAACGCGTCTCTAGCGAGCGGCGGCGGGGACTTAGGCGCGTTAACGACCGACCGCCCATGAACCACGCGTCGGGATGGGGCCTTGAGCGGCACAAAGGATGCGCGGAACGCTCTGGGCGAACTGCGGACACGGAACGCGCTGTCGCTCGCTCGCTTGTCTGTCCGTCTGCTAAGTTATCAACCGACTACGAAAAAGGAGGAGGCCCCCGATTCTCGACTGTGAGGTCGAACTTCGAACTTCTGTAGTATCTCAATCCCTCAAGCGTAATCAGTAAAGTGTTAATACGTCGAGGGTATAAAATTAAAGTGTTAATACGTCGAGGGTATAAAATCGTAGTTTTTATTAAATAGTAGCCGGGCCTATCGGCTGGATCTTAGATGAAAATTCGAAAACAATTACTTTCGCGTCGGTCTTTTACCAAAGATGAGTTCTAGTCAGATTGTTAATAAGTAAAAAACCAAGAATGACTAAACTGCACACGAGCTTTTATTATTTACACTTTATGCACAATCTAATGCAAAGGCTGACTTAATGCCAAAGGCATTTTCTACCATTCAACCTTAGGATGGTGTAGAGATATCGAGGTAGGTGCACAGAAATAACGTGTAGAACGATGACAGGTTATTCACACACCAAACAATTTTTCCGTTATATATATTATGTTTATATTTGCTTATTTATTTTATGCAGTGAATAAGTGAAACACTTTATTTTTACGGCTCTAATATTCACAGCGTACGTATAACGAGTTTTTATAATGCTTGTAGTGAAAAAAAACATGTAATAATATTTGTAGGTAGGTACATCAGTATGTTTTGTGTCGAACCTAACACATACTGTGCAAATAAATACAAAAAGTCTTAAACAATCAGTATGTGTTAAGACTGGGAATACAATTAAAATTATTAAAGAATATATAAATATATAAATATGGTTATACGAAACAGATAGTCCACTTTTTACTTTTTTGTTTGTAAGAAGATGGCAAGCGTGCTGGTGGTTCACCTGATGTTAAATGATAACCGCCGTCCATGGACATTGTAAGGACATCTTTTAATAAAGTGCGGTTCCGGCTACCTCACCGGATGAAACACAGAAATATAATAATACCTCTTCAGGCCGGTCTTCTGTGAGGTCGTGACATTTCCCCAACTAACCTAACCCAACCTGACCATTCGCGCTCAGCGAATCATCGTCGACATTTCACACTGTTCGAGCCCACTGCTGGACATAGGCCGCCCCCACGGCCACGAACCACGATACTGATACGAGGAAATCATGATGTTTAACAAAAATGGCGACCAAATACTATTCCCGCCAACGAAAAGCGCGCGAAGTGTACGCAAAGCGTAGGCACAACATCGAGCACAGAGTAAACAGTATCTAACCTTCACCTTAAACTATTTGCGTCGCTTTGCACACGATAAACATGTTTGTTTAGGTCTAACTAGTAATTGCTGGAAATACCGGGTTCTATTTTCCTCAATAAATTGTTACTAACAGACATTTTTAGTTAACAGCAATTTAACAAGGTATTATAAATGATACCTATTATTTTTTTTATATCCTTAACTTCGAAAATAAAACTAATACATGGCAGCATTTGATTTTATCTTATGGCCCGCCCATATATTGTTTTTTTTTTTGCAGAATTAATTTATGCTTTTATGTTATATCTAATAGTTGTATCTCTCACTGTTATTTCTTAAAACCTCACAACTTTTTTGAAAACTTGTTAAAGTCCGAAAGAGTCTTATGTAATGTCTAATGTAAATATGTAATGTATAATATCTTTTAAAATTTTTAACTAATTACCTAAGTGAAACTGAGACTTAATCTTATACGAAATCATACAAAACACAAAACGAAATGGTATTAATGCCGGTGAACTTTTACGTTTTCCATTTTATTATCGTGGTTGTCATTGAAAAACAGTTCGTCGAAAAAATATATCATCACTGGTGTGCTGCTTTACCGACGAGTCGAATTAATTATTTCTATGAATTTCCGTTTCCGAGAATCTTCTAGTATACTCAATTGGAATATGATTAAAATCCAACGTTTTCTTCGGATTTCTCTCAATTTAAAATATAGTAAACAACATAAAGTCAACTTTCCTTCGTTTATTTGAACTTTGCTTAAAATGTCATTGTAACAATCATCTAACGGATATCACAAATTATCATGAACAAATTCTTTTACGGGAACGCGTTTTACATATAACATTCCCAGCCCAAATTACACTGTTAGCATTCAAACGTATCAATGTAAGCGTATTGTTCTACGAATCGGCTAAAAAAGCTGGCAATAAAAAGCCTAAAAAACCGGCTGCCGAGAAAACAAATCCACCCGCCTCGACACAAGTGCTACGTCATTGGAAACTGACCTCGGAGTCTGTTCTAGATTTAGCATAGATCCGTGACCTTCCACACGCCGCTGCCGCGTGCTCCACACGTCGCGTTTTCAGCGGACAGAAACGCTCTATTGGCGAACATACGGTATATGCGTTTGGTGCGGAAAGATTGGCCACGCGCCACGACCTGATGGGACAGACCCGCCTCTTAAAATTAAAATCAGTACGAGACCATGAACAGAGTAGTTACTGTGGTAAGACCACGCAACAGTGCTCGTGCGAATACGAATGGGCAGGTCCGTCCGGGTAAGTACCACCAGTGTAACACTTCTGCGTTTCGTCTGGTGAGTGAGGTAGCCGGGGACTTTATTAGAAGGTGGCAATGCATCTGCAACCCTTCGGGTGTTGCAAATGTCAATGGGCGGCAGTTATCACGTAATCCCAGGTGAACCGTCAGCTCGTTTGCCACTTTAACACATTAAAAAAAGTCTGGAGGACCTAGGCTGAGTTTTTGGATTTTAGTCACTTTATTTATTTATGACATGTGTTTACATGTCGTTGAACACAAAGTAGTTTTGGCCTGTAAACGCGACAGTACCTTGCTGCGAGCTCCTGCCAAAGCGGTATGACGGATATTCTTTAAGCAATAGCTTCTGCCGTGACGTGAAAGTGTTGTACTTTCGAGTTTAGGCGATTGCAGCGACTGGTGGTAACAGCCACCCATGGACATTTGCACCACCCGTAGGGTTGCAGGTGCGTTGCCAACTCTTAATAAATTGGGCCACGTTTATCTCTATCACCAAGCGAAACGCAGAAGTAGGTATAAAACTTAAACTTCAAAGCGGTCTCCTGTGAGGAGACACTCCGGACGGACCTGCCATTTGACTTACAGTGAAGACTGTTGCGTGGGACCCCGCAACAGTAACGTTGCCAAAGCTTCTACAAGCCCTCAGGTTTTGTGGACTTCCATGTGTTGCAATTGTCACTTAACATCAGAGGAACTAACAGTTCGCTAAGCATACTTATAACAAGCAACAATTTATAATTATTTTTATTTTTTTATTTTATTTTTTTTTATTTTTAGATTGCTATTAAATTGCTACGAGTTTGTACAGAATATGACGAAACTCGCTTTACCCGGAACATCTTGTAAATCGCGAGGGTTAAATAAATCATATTAACGAACTGAATAATTGAAACGCCTTTGATAATAAAACTAATTAAATGTTTGGAAAATCTAAGCCTAATTCACAGGGCGCAGTGAACTATTGGAGGCTTGAAATATGTAACAAAATATCTACTTTGTCACTATAATTTTATAGTGCTATCAAATACTGTCCCATTTTGGCACGCCGATGATGGTTACTTCAATCTATTGCGACCTCGTAACCTTGTTCTAGCAGTCAACGACCCGAACACTATTCGTCATATGTTTTGCTCCTACTTAGTTTCATGATGTGTGTTTCACACATTAAATACTTTACATTTACGACAGCCGAGATTTCAATAAGTATTGAACTGGCACTCATATCTCGGTCTTTGTCTAGCCGTGGGGCATAAAGGCTGTTATTTTTTTAGCAATTACCTAATTCGATATTGAGCCATATATAAGCAATATGGCTTATATTGAAATATATAAATTTAATGCCCATGAAGTTTTGAATTTCACGTATAGCTTCTCCATTTGAATTCTATTGAATCGATAGTTGTTCTTCTCATATTTAAAATCAAAGTTAAGATAAAAAAAAAACAAATTTTATAATAAACTAATCATAATTGCTGTTATTTCCATTTGAGCAAATTTTACATACAATTCGTTACCTATTTTTTGTTTTTTTTTTTCGGAAAAGATAAAATTTCGACATCAAAATATTCCGGGCTCAATGTTAGCGTTGCTTTAGCGAGGAATCGGACACAGACAAAAAAAAACATATCAAAAGTTCGTTTCCCGCCTCCGCGCGCGCCAATCTATTCGGCCGCCGGTGTCAACGCTCGCTAGATATTGAAGGTCAGCGTTAGTCATGGCTAGAGCGGACGTTGCGGTAGGTTATAAATTTTTGCTAGTGTGTCATTCGGGCCACGCAGTTTTTTTTTTGGAATGGCGCAAGACACACGCTCAGATAAAACGCTCCCGCCGTCCGCGAGCCCGCCATATTAGCATCAAAGACAAAAGTCAAAGTATCTTTATTCAATAAAGGCTTAACTTAACCTCTTATTGAACGTCATAAAAAATCTACCACCGGTTCACTAAACTAGACCTGCACAGAGAAGAACCGGAAAGAAACTCTGCGGTCTTGTTCTTTTTGTTTTTTTTTTGTGACGTCACCACCTTCCGAAAGTGGAACAAACGCTGAATCACATGTATTCCGAATTTTTATTTATCACTCACGGAAGACATAAGTGATTATCATTCATAAATACAAATCACTAGATATATACAATGTATTTACGCTTCAATTGTACCTACTTTTAACCCGATATTATAAACACTAATATATGTAATATAATATATTTTTTCTACATGTTTAAATAATATAAAATAACTTATAAAGTGACTGTTTAAAATGAAATACCTATGATCGATAATTTCTTACGAAACTTATGTTGTATATTTGAACACCATGATCGTAACGACCAATGTCAAATACTTTTAGACATTGTCAAACGTGAACATTTTATAAATATCTTCGTAAACAGCAGAAAATTTACGACTTACCTGACTAGACTATTAATCTGATATTATTAAAATAAAGATACGCAAAAGTATTTAATTTAACTTAAAATTATTGACACTGAATTTCTAAACTTAACATTTTCTAGTTTCAAATTAGTTGCCATTTTGGCTTTAATGGCTAGCTTTCCTCCTACCTACATCAGTTCTAGTCATGATAATGGGCGTTTCACCAATTTTCATTCGTACGGACAGTAAATGAGTTATAGACAATAAAACTATTCCAATTTCGGTCGATAGAATTATAGATTTAATCGATCAACGATGTCATCAAGAGGCCATCGGTTCGGCATAGACAAAGTCTATGATTTCACAGCAGAACCATAGACTACACAAATACAGATACGAATACGTTACGAACGAAACTAAACACGAATAGTGTAGGTTAGATAATCGACGGACGCCCACAACGGCGTACTGGCAACACTAACCTACGTCGTTGCGTGACAAACAATGGAGCGATGGTCTGCCGACCTTGGGACCTCACCTTGCGCGGCCACGGTCAGTCCACCCACGTAGTCTATTATGCATGGAGGATGTCTATGCTCGGCTGCCGTTAATCATGCGCATACTGAAACATTCCGTTACTCGGCAGTATTGATTTGAATGGAAAATGTCAAAGCCTAGACCCACTTTGCATTTACTGGGCTCAGATGCTTTCCAATCGGCTGGTATCTCGAAAGTAAGATCGAATCGATCGTAATTGAGAAATAGTATCTTACCGGTAATGCATCGTATTTGTGACTCCGTGGTGCAGTTGCCAAGGTATTGGCTTCAAGGCCGCGGCTCGCGGGTTCGATTCCCACACGAGACAACTATTTGTGTGACCCACAGATAATTGTTTCTTATCTGGGTGTTTGTGCACGTGAAATTTATGTATGTAAAACTGGCTAATGTTACCCTACAGTAAGTAATATGTCGGAGGAAAGACTGTAACAGATCTTCTAGATCACATTGGTCCTTCCACACAAAATAAATTACAAACACAAAATGTATGTTAACAGTAAATAGATTGTCTTGAAGTTAAGCGTAGCACATTGTGTATTACTCTTTATGCGTAGGTTTAACTAGGAGGTTGGGGAATCCTAGCAAGGCTAAAGTAATGCCTACACAAAGAAACAGGCTTATCGCCTGTGTTTGTCATGTAATTAACTAAGTTAAACGTAATGCTGCGAGACATCACTGACACCGTTATCATTATAAGTTTCGAGAGATTGAATTTATTTCTTGATGAAAGTATTTAGGTGATTCCAGAACTACATAATTAAAAATTAAATACGCAATCTTTTTTAAGTGAGAAACAGGGAGTCGCACAGATAATACATAAAGTTTTAACATAGATAATATATTAAATTTAGTGTTGCAATTAATTTATCTCAACGATATCAACACCCGGTATAATACAACCGTTTTTCATTTTACTTTGCCCGGTTGCAGTCGTAAAATTACACAGTATAATGAACTATCCAAACATTGTCCTTGCGGTGTCCCAGAAGCGTTAATACATGCATCGTCATATGGTTCTAGTGTTTTTTAACCTCTGCGCACTCGTCTAGTAGGACGGACGGTCGAACGCATTAAGCGAACAATTATAGAACTAGAGACCTAAATAAATTTTAGAGTTCGCATTAACAATGCCTGAATTAAATCGTAACAAATGCAAAGAAAACTGCACTTTTCAATACGAATACGATATTTTGGCCTTATACTATTCAATTTAATATTTTCGTAGTAGTAAGTCTGAAAACGGCAAAAGCTAGTGCCAAGCTATGATGGCTTGATATGAGTGTAGTTGCATATGGCTAACGCGGGTCGTATGTTCGATCCTTGAATTAAACAGCATTGTAATAATATCTGCATTATTTATGGATTGTTATTTTGATCTGAGCGTTTATCTCGTACAATTTGTGTAGGTTAATCCACTGCCGTACAAACGATAAAATCCGTGTTCCGTCCACTGTGTCGACCTGGACCTCGCGAGCAACAAGCCGTATAGGCACAGAAAAAGTACGTTCGTAAAAAAGGATAAGCCCTAAATTGCTATCTAGCATCACGGGTGATGCGACTTTGTTCTATTGTTCGTACAACACTGTATCAGAATCTATGGGAATCTCGCGTCTTTATCTATGATCTTTGGAGTTACGTATCGGGATCAATACTCGTCGCCACGATCCCCGGGACAGTGATTGAACCCGCGACTCAACACGTGTTACGCACACGCGCATAACACTCGACACACACGCAAATTAAACATAGTCCCAGATGTCATTATGGCGATAACACCGACGGATCTTTCCAAAGGGAAACTCCCTATTTTAAGCATTAAAATTAATGTAATCGGTGGTCTAGGAACGGCTACATTGCTTACCATCATATAGTAAACATTTACTGTAGCCAGTTGCTAGAGGTGGAGTAACGACCATAGTATACAATGGCGCAATCAGTCTGTGCCTGTACAAATCTGAAACAAATCGTACATTACAACGTCATTAATCGTGAGGATCGGATAGAAAAATCTAGTGTTTCTGCAAAGCTTATAAGGCTCCAATTTAGTAGCCGATGAGCTGGTCACGTTTAATGTTATATCAAAAGTTATTGTGACTTTATGAAGACATTCTCGTTTATAACGTTATTTGCAGTTTCCCCTTCGACGCATCTTTTTTGTTTTGCTAAAAAGTACGTACATCAGCGGGAAATGCTTGCATTCCTGACAGATATAGTTCCTGACAGATTCTAGTGCCATCAGGCAGGCATAAAAGGCAGTAATATCAAACTTACGAGCTTTCTTTACATAATTAAATAACTAAAAATTAAATGCTGATGGTGGAGGAATATAATGATGCAGTTTAATGACATATGACGAGGTCTATAGAGGTAATTGATATGAAGGTAAATCCCATCCTCACTTTGTCTACAAATCGCTTTTAATGTCAACTTGTAAGATTTTTCTTCGCACATAATCGGCCTGTTACATACCGCTCACCCCGTTCGCGTCATAGCGAGTCTGAGCAACAACGCCATAAGGGGTCCAATAATGTGAGGGATTTAAGAAGTTCTTCGCCAGATTAATTTTTATTTTATTTTATTGGGGATAACAACATTAATAAGCTAACGATTAATACGATGGTCAAACATTCAAAAATCAACTATGAAAATTTCAACTGTCTAACTATCACGGTTCACGAGATACAGATATTCAGTCATTTAAGTCCCTTTTCCAAGGAACCCTAAAAATGCTTAATACCCAAGGCGAAATGTCCCAAAACATAAGGTGTCTATAGTCCTACGCTGCGCTGACGCGGGCTACAGCTGTGTGCGTATACGCCGTCTGAAGAGGGAAGTAAATTTTAGCAGACGCGACACTTGGTTGCTGCAACTTTATCAGTTTTCTCAAAAAAAAACCTCATCGAATGGCTAATTGTTTCCAAGTAAACGTAACGTAACATGTAACCGTTGGGCGGAAAAGTGTCTAAAAAAAATCACGTGTTCCGCAATGAGGGAAAAACATCGTGAGAATACCTGCTTAATTTTAGAAAGAGTAATGAAAAAGTATGTATTTCGGATATAGTGAATTCTACAAAACGGCGGTGGCGTCACACCATGAAGTGTGACAAATATAGGAAGTTATTTAACTTTACTCTTTATTTACAAGGCTTACAACATGCTAATCTAATAGGTGCTACTACTACCTGGAGTCGCGGAAGATTCCGTCTTCGTGTTCCCGTGTCCCCGGCTGATGTGACAGAGACAGGTGCAACGTGGGTTTTTTAGTGGGTACCCGTTTCTTACTGGAACTCCCACATACCCCTGCCCTCCCCTATCTGGTGGCAGGGGATCCATAAAGGATTTTTCCCACGTAAAAAAATAAGGTACTACTACTACAAAAATTATACATTTAAATAATTATTAATGGGCATTCTTGAATACAATATTCACGTGGGCAAACACACGCCCAAGACTGGAAGAATCAAAGTGAAAAAAACAATCCCGTAGGCCATATCAATTGTTGGACCGTAGCCACGAAGCTTTGTTATACCTATTAGATGATCTCTGAACGATACGTGTGTGTAGCATCAAGAAAGCATTAATTTGTATAAAAACTATATGTAGGGACACGCAGTCTTTGCTGTTGCACGAATGGGCAGGTCTGTTCGGGGAAGTACCACTATGTCTCAGGCGTGAAGTGGAAGTGATGCTTCTGCATTTGGTCTGGTGAGTTAAGTAACCGGATCCCACTTAATTAAAAGGTGGCAACGCATTTGTAACCCTATGGGTGTTGTATATATCCATGGGCAGGGGTAAATACTCAACATCAGGTGAACCGCCAGCTCGCTTGCTATCTTCTTACATAAGAACAATGCAAGGTTTCCAAACATACTTTGACACAGTATACACCCGAACGTGTTAATTCAACAAATCGCGGAGTCAGAGTATCAGAGCAGACTCTCTCCTCTCTGCCCTGTCTGATAATCATTACCAATCACTCACGGCTCGTTTCTAAAACACTGATCATCGTATAAATTAACTAATCAGCTGTCAAATGGATTTTCAAATGTCATTTGAGTTGCTAAAAGGATGGTTAAACTCTCTGAATCGATCAGAATGATATTCTTAATGATCAGAATTATTAATTCAATATTTAACCATGAGCAACCAAAGCATCATCCGTTCTCACCATAAAAACCTTATACTGGTCTAAAGGCCCGCTAAAAACCAGCGCCGTATTCTCATATCTACTGCGGCTTTAGCCGAGTGCGGTCTGTTTGCCGTACACGCCACACACATAATTATCTGTGATGTCTGTTTCACGATTATTAGTACTATTATTTTATAATACTCTTGGTTTTTAATGTTTTAAGTTTAAATGTTAAGACGTTCCAACAGTTCAGTCCTTATGTGGCGTATTTGTGTAATAAATGTTTTTTTTGCTTCTTTCTTTCTAAAGTTACGAATAAAGGACACCTCCCTGCGAGACCAATCGAGGATTGATAGGCTAAGTGGTGTACTTTCTTGATAGGTTTCTACAAAATTGAATGATGAAAATGAATTAAAATTGAATTCGAACCCGACGAATATTCTTCATAACATTTAAATAATCGCACTGGACTTTAAAACAACCAAAACCAAAGTAGGATAACTTCGTTGAGGGCTAATAGTCAATGTTTTAATAAATATAGCGCATGTCCTTTTTGCGCGATGTTTAGAAATAGTTCCGCTTTACATTATATAACTTATATAACTGAATGTGACAGATGACATAGAACGTATGACACTGAAAGATATAGCAGAATTGCAATCTAATTACACCGATTAGCGTGATTTGAGTGCCTCAGTTTCGTTGCACTAGTGTCATATCTACCTCGTATTTTAACATTTTTAAGGACTCATTTTTACTTGTACTAACTTGGATACTAAATAACTAATAAACATACTTAAATAAACTTTTCTTTTGTAAATAAATACATATATATACCCAGACACCGGAAAAAAACTGTGTTCATCCACAATATTTTTCCAGTAGTGGGGATGGAATATCATTGCTTACAGTGAAATTGTTCGCGCAGTGGCGGACCAAACCCGTGGGTTCTGGCTAGCCCACCGGTTCTGCGTCAGATGAAGCTTTAATAGTCTCGGGACTGAAAGCAAAAACATCAGTTAATACAAGATACAAGCATTGGCGGTGGCGCGTCTGACCGCTTGATCTTTGCGCGCGCAGCGCTGTAGTTATACGATTCGTCCTTTTTCTAACAAGGGCGCTCGGCCGACAACCCTGCGCTATCTGTCTAACGCGTTTGCCGGCTGCGAACGCGCGACGTCGATGGCGGCACGCGAGTTTTGGCGGGAACGTCATCGTCATTACTAAACGCAAAACAACTTGACGCACTAGTTCTTGCTGAATCGCTGGCAGCAAACGCCAGATCAACTCCTTGAGCTCATAGACCCTATGTGATATAATTACTGACGCCATTTGTTCTACGATGAATAAAAATATGACGGAATACGTGTCAAGATGGCCGCTAGTAAAGAGTGAATGATGAAAAACTTTTTATACATATGACAGCAACGTCACCAGCATTCATATCTCTAATGTCTCTTTTTTTAGTAATTTTCTTCGAAAAACACATATCTTAAAGCTAAGCAAATACTCACTACGTTAATATTTTAATCATAATATGTTAGCTTTTTAGCAGTTTCGTTATTGTTACGGACAATCTCAATTGAAACTAGGGGGTTTTAAGAATAAATAAGCCAAAACAAAATCCTCTCAATACAATCATGTTTACAATATTATTCAGAGCTTCAATTATTTATGACATTTTCTCGTGCAAAATAACGATTTTTTTAAAGCATAAAAGAGTATAAAGTCATTTTCATTTGTCAATCTTATCGGGAATAAATAAATTATTACATGAAACGTAATTAATTTACTTCATTCTATAGTCTTAAGTATGCTGCTTTTTAATACGTGTGTTGACAGGCAGAAAATATTACGAATTTTTCTTTATAACAAATGCACATCATTACTAAAAACCATAATTTCGAAAATACCCTGGACGTTACGAAAATATATAAACTGAAAACAGATTCCTAGTAAACTAAATGTCAAACACATTTAATTAAATTAGTACCTATATTTTTTTAGTTTTCCAATCGATGAAAAATTTAAAATAAGAAAGGATCGACAATTATTTGTATATGTTCATATTTAAAATATAGCTTACGGTGTCTTCTTATTCCGTCCGTCCTTACCCACTAACTTACTGAGGATCCCGGTCAGGCAGTTTGCATAGTTCCTATGGTTCATTTTGCACTATTTTTAGGTCACCTGCCTTGCCCGAACGACCTCAGTCGGGTTTTCGATCGGTTTTTATTTTTAATCTGTTGTGTCGCGACAAAGCCAAATAGGCGGCATTAGAAGTTATATTTTTATTAATACACATCTCTTTATATCTTGTATCTATTTTAATTTAAATAAATGTCACTAAAATGCAGATATAGAAATGCAGATAGAGCAATGTAGATATATTTTAAACTGTACTTGACTGTATTCTTAAAATTTTACCACGTTTCAAACAAGTTAAAGAAACTTTAATAACAAATAAACGATCGTTTAAATATTGAAAACGTTTCGCCAATAGCCTTTATGCAATTTTATAAAAAACAAAAACGCCAAGGTGCGTTAGAGCTTGCAAATATGTAGAACAAGTTTTTTTTATTTTTTTAAGTCAAACTAAAATAACAAGCGATAAACTTGTCTCCGCTCAATTTTCATCACAAAGTTTAACCTTAAAGTCTGTATAATTTACTCTTGTACACGTAATGAATGAATAGATGTTTCATGAGAACGGACCTTTATTAATTATTAAACGTTTATAAACGAAAAACCTATCTAAACCCTTAATGGCAGAACGCCCAACTTCCTATTAATAATGTTTATATGAATTCTAAATCAAAGTAATGATTTCGTATACCTAGGGCCCACCCGCTCGTAATTCCGAGATCAATGCTGTAAATCGATCAAAACATCATGAAATTAGAAATTAAAAAAAATTACGTTAAAACTGTTTAACAGTTTCATTTTGATAAAAGCAAAGTGACATTTGTTTTTTTCCTTGCCGCTTCCGCAGTATATTTTTGAAGCAAAGCAAAGCATCCGAGCGATGCGGGTTCTTAACACCAATGTGCAATGCACTGAATTCTTACAATAATAATTAATAATATGTTAAGGCAAAATCACAGCACAGAAATAAAAAAAAATATCGAGTTCCTCAAATCACTATATTTTGTACCTATATTATGTGAACTATTTTAAAACTTTATATCGATGGTAAGAAAACATCCCTGCGTTCGCCACCATTTCTTGCTGGCTTAATTATTATGACGATTTAAAAAAAGTATACATAATCATTATATACGTGATGTACGTTTAAGCACATCTCATATGTTTATGCTCTTACGATGTCTTTAGCCTTGATTTTACAGAAGCTCTTAGTTTCGTCTCTACCGTACGTTGGCTTCCATGTGGGCGTTCCGAAAACAGGGGACACACAAATGGATAATAAAAGGCAACTTAATAATGTAAATGCATGAAAATCATATGAAATCACCATTACGCGAACTTATTACCCGTAAATCGACACGAACAGGAAGCTGCGGGCCGAAAAAGAGTTCCCAAATCCGTGCATGTACACTGTACGGACATCTTTTATTGCGTTCGCGCCGAAAACGCACTTTGACACGACTCTGGTTTCTGTACCCGCGGTGGGAACGTCGAAACGGATCCATTTAGCGGAATTAGTCAGAGTTCCCGAAAAACGCGGCCGTCGACCCCTCGGGGGCAGCACCTAAATATTTTAATGTTGGGAGTGTACAAAAAAAAATTCACATGTTTACATAACACGACGAATTTTTAAAGAAACCTCGCGCCGAAGGGCCGCGTACGCACACAGAGAGCCGCTTCCTCGTGTGAGTGTGACACACACACGGAGAAGACATAAAAATGCCCAATCGGTACATGTCGCACCACTACAATGAAGGGACGACGTAAGTCGCATACAAGTGCATAATTCGGCCGAGATGCAAAAAAAAATATTTGGCAATGCGGCCCCTACGCGCCCGCCAGTCGCCCGCCCGACAGGGTTAGGTTAGGTTAGATTTTTTGGCTCAAAACGCTCGTTGGGGATTTTTAAAAAGTATTTCATGTGTACACGGCTAGGAAAAGGAGTCGTACCAACAGCTTTATTAGCGACAGTACGTCGCAATTTTTGAATCGGCACACGTGTCGGCGCGCTCTTGTTGGACTCCAATTTGAATTCGGGAATTTCGTTCGCTTCCACTTTTCTAATAGCGCATTTATCGACGTTTAATTGTTTTACGGGCGTTTTGTACCAAACTGGAGGGCGAGCGCCGTATTATTTCGCCATTGCTTTTTCCAGAATCGGACGATGGCATAAATTATTATATACATATTTTTATTAATCTAATGAATTCAAGATTTTTTTCTTTTTTATACAATGACTGTAGTGACTTGTGACGTGTTGTGATTTATTATATTCGTTATTTAGAATTTTTTTGTTCGGACACTCTGGTGTTTTAACGATTTCTTTTCTGGTAAGTTATTTATTTTTATTTAATTTTATTCATATTCACTTTTTTTTAAACGTGTCTATAATTTGTATTTATTTTTTTTGTTTTTGTTGGTCAATATTTTTTTTATTAAATTTGAAATAAATGCCTTTCGATTTTAAATAAAATGAACCAACCTACCTAAAGTCACCGTTCACACAAGGAAAGTGTTTTATTGAAACGATTGCATAAAGAATTGTATGAAAACACTGGTTTATTCTTAAAAATGTATTTCTAATAAAAAAAACGGGCTAGACTAGGCACAAGGACACGTCGTCCAGTGACGTCAGCGTCACTAGGCACTGGCGAGAAAGTCGGCCATCTTGATTCTGTGCTCTTTTTTCGAAGCCTACAAAATGCGCGGGCGCTATACCGCCATGTTGGTGTACATATGGATTTAGAAATTATCGGTAAACATAAGTACGACGTCGCTGCATTAAGCACATTTCTTATATATATTTAATTCTGACCATTTATCTCAATGCCGTAATTGTACCGAATTTAACTTCAGTTCCAAGGGTTTTATTAGTAATGCAAAAAACATTTTTCCATAATAACTAATGTCTTTAAACGTATGTTGAATTGCATATCAACATTTAATTGAAAAATAATACTTTAAGTACTTGCATTGAAACAAAGAACCGATAAGATTGCTTATTTTATTACCCATAAATGGTAGAGTTAATTACTTTAAAAAAATATATTGGACCACGATTAAATTAATTCCAATCTGTCGTAAGTTATCATATATATTAAAAACGAATTATTACGAAGTTAAAATTTTTCGCGCCATAAAATCCACAGGGTACAAATTGTTCTCTTTTAAATCTGCTGTAATCAACACATAAGTGGAAGGTATAAATGTAAACCAATTTATTACCTACAAATATATTTTGCTGTAGTTGCTTAACTCCTTAACTAGATAGTAGGTAAAAATGTTTCAAGAAATAAAACAAATTATACTCCAATATACAAGGAAATTGTGGCATGTCAAAAATATATCCAAAGCTATTTTCCCTCTCACTTCATAATATTGTTAAATTTAATAAAATAAACAATAATTTACAAATCAACAGGCAGTATTTTTTCCCTTATTGATAGCAAACCACCTGCAAATGCCTCAAACATTACATAGGTTTTCAGTGATACAGTCTTTGTTGTCGGTGTTAAAGTATGATATTCAATTTAATAAAGTGATAATAAAGACGTCTAACCATTAAACATCATTATTTAACCACGTGATAAAAAATTGCCAGTAGCAGCCATTACGATGCACTGACCACATACTATGTATACTACCAGACAATTACTCTAAGAATTGGACAATGGTACGCCAACACATCGTGGACATAACAGACGCGAAAAATCAATTCTTATCCCTTAGATTTTACTTATTACTATTTTTAATTTGACTGAACTTAGCTAAATCAATCCACAATTTTAACAAATTACTAATCTTTACAAACTATTCTATTTTATTATTATAAACTTATTACAGATTCTGCAATAAATTGCCAAATATTCCTGCTCTGAAATAACCAAATTTATTGCAATTTAAAAAGTAAAATTTCAGAGGACAGCATAAAACGTATGCAATTTTAAGGATCTAACGTGCCCCCTGCGTGCGTCATTATACAGACAATTTATTCTTCATCGCACAAAGTTGCTATCATAAGTTTAATATAGATTTGAAATAGCTTCAGCTATCCGATTCGTATTTAGTTATAGTTACACCGATTGTAAACAACTCGTGGACGCATTAGAGCGTTTATTTTTATTTATTTCCCTGCACTTGGGTGTCCATTTTGTTTTTGATTCGTCATTTGTTGTTTACCAACGCAA